ATTTGTGAAAAATTATGAAAACACAAAGTCACCGGGAACGTCACAGTACAAGCTTTTAGTTCAAAGTAAAGTTATAAATTTTAGAAATTTTGCTTAAAATCTGTAAACCAGAGGTTGCTTACCCGATCAAGATGTATTCCAAACATCACGAGGATATCCAAACAAGCATTTGTCATAGTAGAACCATACCTCCATGGTAGAACGTAAACCATTTTTAATAGACCGAATTAGTGATCGACGCTGTTCAGCTATTAGTGGGTATTCGAGTAATTTAAGAAAATAGCCTTTACTAAAATGTCTCATACACGCTTTGTGTGTAAAGTTGAGAGTGATTTAAATTAACAGAAACCATTGTTACATGTTTATGAATGTAACGATTGTGTATGCTAAATGTGAAATATAACGAGAATAAATCGTACTATTTTGGGAATAAAATGTACATTGGTTGTGTCTGCCTGTGTTACAGCACGACGACAGCAGCCATGTATTCACTCACAGTGAATCATGGCGTCGGTCGATGAATGTGCTTGTTGCAAAACTCATGAAATGTGTTGTACTTGCAGATTTCAAGGAGAGCTACAGTAAGTTATTCAAAATTATTGAATAATGTTCCTAAATTCACACCAATAACTTTGGCAGACTGCACGGAGCTGAACGTTTACAGTCAGGCCTCACTCAATCATCATATCCAGCCATGCCGCGTTGTCGTGCAACAAGTGTCAGGGGCTGAGGCCTAGCCTGTAAAAACTCTATACGTATATTTAACTTAATTTTACATGAAAATCAAATCAAACGTCTTCTGATGGTTCTATGAACCTTCCTTAACCTACCAAAAGTATCTTACCCGCATACTTTGTGTTTTTTTGTGCTTGTTTTCCTGCACCATACAAAAACTCGCAATGTTATAGAATAGGACTTTTAGGATTTGTTTAGAATTTTATACCCACCCGGCCAAATTGTGATGACGTCATCTTTCGTCGCTAATTCGGTCTATTAGTCCCATTGAACAGGGGCGGATCCAGAATTTGAATTCTTTTTTTTATTTCAATACATAACATTAATATTCACTGACATTTTAAAAAGTTGTGTCAGAACACTCTTTTGACACTTGACACTGTTCTGGGGTGTGTGGGGGGGGGGAGCCTAGAAATGTGTACTTTCACACCTAACCAAATTGGTGACCCTGACATGATCTACTTTGGTTAGGTGTGAAAGTACACTTACTAATCTGCATTCTTCAAGAGGTATGAGGCCCGTGAGGAGCAAGTAAAATAATTGTATGTATTAAATAATTGGTCTGTCAGTCGTGGGAAGTCTTCTGGCATGTCATTCAATGTCATGAAGTTGGTTGAGCATGTGTTTGTGCGAGGGCCTTGTGTATAATGATCTTAGGTCATTAGTCTCTCCACAGATTGTGGTATGAGCCTTCTGTATACATCTTTCAGAAGGCGTGGGGGGTCCCTGATCCTATGGCTCATTTCAGCTCCTGTAATTGTGGAGTCTATCACCGTGAGCAGCTGTTTACTGTAGCTAGGTAGTCATGGACCATGCCTATATGCAAATCAGCACAATGTGACACTGCAACTTGGAAAAGAACATTGGAAAAAAAAAATATAAATTTAATAACATTATAAACTAAATTCATTTGGTCTGAATTAATTCAGTAAGATGGTAGGCCTACAGTATAGTACAATTAGCTTTGAAACAGAAAGTAAAACAGTTTCATAAAGGGAAACATAAACAAATGCAGGATATAATGAGAAAAAAATGTAACAGTTTATAGTAGTAGTATTAAGGTTAATATACCAATACCACAATTTGTCAGAATTTCCTTTCTTCTCATTCATCCAAGGCTAACTAAACTCTTGCTTGTTTTAAATGGCAGTAAAGCCACAACTTTTGTTGTCCAAGGTGATACATTCTGTTAAAATTACTCATGATTTTGATTAATATTCTGTGATTTTATATTAATGTGATGTCCATAGGATCAATCAAAGTCTGATATTAAATTTAAATCTTATACATTGTTAGGGTAGGCCTGATGGACTCCATTAGCACCAAGATCTACTTGCAACTTTGGAGTAAATAAATTAAATTGAATATTTGAGTTACCTGTCTCTTATACACATCTAGATGTGTATAAGAGACAAGAATATATTTCAGTCTAATGTTAGTGCAAAATATCATTAGGCCTTTGTAATCACCGCACGACGCGCGACTAACATGGCAACTAACACGCGCGTGGGTAAATCGTCACGTACGCTGACGGTTTATGGTATGGTTGCTATGGTTTTTGTGACGTTCAGCGTGTAGGGACGCACGTGCGCCTAGAATGTCGATGCCAGAGTTATAACCTTTGATGTCCCGAGATGTGCGTCCTTTTGTTAAATTACCTTGGTTTTACATTCCTACAGGAATTTTACCTAAATATAAAAATACAATATAGTACAGGTAGTATCAAATTAAGTTAAGTTGCCATCATGGTTGGTTCTAGGACTTACTCGCTTTTTATTGCACTTATTGTGCGCCATACCAAATTTAATTGGCATACCCTACTATTTTTTTTTTTTTTTCAGATTAGATATATCTCTAAATTAACTTACTCATTGATGGCGGTGTCCAGAATGAGAAAAGAAATAATAAGGGACTTGTGGCAAGCATAGTTTGGTTTTAAATGTCCAAAATAGGACCAAGTCTCTGTTCCATTCCTGAGAAATATGTGTTTCTATGGTGAAGCTTCTGTTGTCTTGACTCAAAACATAGTCAGTTTGATGTTTTCAGGTAATTTAAGTTTTATCAACTGCTGTTTCTTTTTCTCAGGTGCCTGAGTTTTTATTTGATTTAGTGTTAATTAAATTGTGTATGTACTGTATACTGTATAAGTAGTTTTGTCTCTATAGTACTTTGTGTTCGGAATGCAAGAAAGTAAATAATTGTTTGTTTATGTAATGATGGAGCTGTAACTTGTTAGTTAAAGCCCCATTCCTGGCAAAATTTCAGTTTTTAAGAAAAATCTAATTTTTGTATAATGTTATAAAGATTTATAAATATAATGCGGAATTGCTAGTTTAATTGAATTTAGATATTCCTAAGAATGAAAAAAATGTAAAATAAGACTGAAATTTGATATTTTGTGTTCCACACAATGCGAAGTACAAAAACTAATCTCATTAGAGAGGGCGCACTTTATTGACTGTATAAAGTATACATAAAAGCAAGAGTATTCCATTGGATGCGATCTCTGAATTTGCCTAGTAACGATGAATTCGTGGAGAAAATGGTAATATTTTATGAGAAATAGTCTGTATTTCTCATTTTTTTAATTCTTTTGCGTAAAACTAAAATTCATGCCAATATTTTTCCATGATTTATAATAATTGGAGTAATGCAAATGCATATTTTTTTTAAAAAAGTCAGTTTTTAGTGAAATTTTGCCGGGAATGGGGCTTTAAGATTCTTATTCCAATTCTAGGGTCCCGGTTTTAAACCCTGTCACTGCAGGATTTTTTCTCACAACTGAAAACAACTATTGAATTCCGACATGATGGCGTGCATTTTGATACTTGGAGTATGTATTTTACTATCTTATCTGACAATTACTATCTTATCTGACAATTACTGTAGTTTAAATAAAGCATTAATCCTTCCTGTAAGTGGCAAGTGTACGTGCTGTTGGATGTGATTGTGAAGGAAATAAAAAATATATAAAAAGCACAACCTATAATGGTAATAACAGATATTACTGTATCGATCGACATAATTAGTTTTTATTAAAATCAAGGGAAATTTTTTTTTTGTCAAGGTTCATGTGTGTAAGTTAGATGTGAACATAAGTGTGGAAATAATGTCACATGTTTTGAAAAGAACCTGTTTCAATGGTAGAAAGAATGTTCATGATAACGACATAATAAACATGGAGATGTAAACAAAATTTTTGCTTTGTGTTTCGATTGTTTTTTTACATGTAAACATTGTTTCTCTCTTTTGTTTCCTTAGTTTTTACATTCAGTGTAAAATGTTAAGTGTAATGTATAGTGCCTTAATCTAGGATTACAAGAAATTGGTTTGTTATTAGGTTGTGGAGGTGATCAGGGTGGCGGCAAATATTGTGTATGATTGTATTCTCTTTTAATTACTGCATAGTGTTACCACAGACAGGTAATAAGATTTTTGCTAGAGATTTGTAAGTTATCTGTGCTACGTCATAGATTTTTTCATTTGTAGTTATGCTGATCCATTCAGCATTCTTTTCTGAAACCATGATTCTTTTGCTTTTTTTAGCTTTCTTCCAACCTGCTGTGTCTAGGACATTAATCAGTAGTAGTCCCTGTTTCTATTTTTATATTCTGTAATACAAAATTGCTCTTTCTCCATCATTCGAGTTTCGCATAAGCATTTCTACTTTTCATTTCCCTCTCTGTATTATTATTAACTTTTTATTGCATGTAACGTAATGACATCACATAAAATCAACTGCGCATGCGAGAACTTAACGTTGACATGGATTTTAGGATGCAATGCCTCGTTGTGCAAAGGACGTAGGATGGTCACGCATGAATGTTATAGTGTCGAACTTGTTCAACTTAATAGGGATGGCCAATAAACTTGTTAGTTTATAAACTATTTCTATGAATAGTACTATACAGTATGTTTATTTTTTTTTAAATTGCATTGTTTTTCAGAACAATTAATTACTGTATAAACCTATGAAAATATGAAATCTAAGTATTATCTATGTGCAATATAGGCTTGATCAGCATTGTGGTTTCAATTTCACAATGCTTTTACTAATTTCGATGAACTTTCAGATCTTTATTTTTTAATAAATAACTCCCTATCTGATTCCACTTATTCTGCATACACTAATACAACACTATAGCTTTGGATATAGTGACGGATGTACTGATGGCAGGAAGGAAGTAATTCACAATCGCAAAAGAGGAATCCAAGACAGTTGACGGCCTGCCAGTGTCATCTGCAATGGAGTTACAGTGTATGGTCTATGTGTTTGTGTGCTTATCAAGCAGCTTTAGTAAATATCAATGATTTTATCTTGTCAAGAATGCAAGTTGCAATGCCTCATAACCTGGATTAATAAGGCTTCAGATTCCTGAGTGATGTCAAAAGTTTTATAAATTGGTTTAATTATATAAGTTTTCCAGGCTCACCTCCTACCGGTATGTCACTATCCTTGATACTAATTATTACTAAATTTCAAACCGTTAAAATAACTTAACTGTACAGCAGAGAAATTGAATTGCAATGTTAATAATTGTTTAAATCAGTGACCATATAACACGCTCATTACCTAAACAAAGTGAAGACTTGATGGTAGTAAACCTCGACCAATCTGAATGATACTTAGGGAATTCAATATATTTAAAAAATAAAATAGGGTATTCAGTATGACTGATACATTTTTTTTTAGGCAGGATATACAGTCAGTGGAGTATTGCTCTGACCATCTCACAGGCAAACATGGTGAAAGAAAAAAATAAATATAATATTATTCTGATTTTTATGATGACTTAAAAAACAACAGATTCTGAAATGTTAATAATTGCTTAGATTAAAAAATAATTTGTAGTTTTCTGAACAGACTGTCAATAATAAACTAAGATTAATTGATATTTAACTGGTGTTTTGTAGCACATTACTGTAGGTTATTAGTTAATAACATTGTAAACGATGAAATAAATAACAATCGCTCCAAACAAACACTTTGTGCCTCATGAAAATTATCAACCATCATCCAACGGTCACACTTTCACATGCTTTTCCAGCCCTGGCTTTACGGTATTCATCGAGTAAACACAGTACAGAGGTTTATGTGTTGGTAGAAACAAAACCACTACTATCCTTTTCATGGTCTGCTGTGTGTATGCTATTATGAAGCTTTTCATTATAATTTGATTATAACAATGGTATCCATTATATGACTGAAAAAAAGAAGAAAAATACTTTCTGTCAGTGGTGACTCTACAGTACTTGTACCTCCAGTAATTTTAGAATTTAATTTTTAAGTTTAGGCCATATTTAAAGAACTATTATTGGTTTATCACCCTATCTAGATTGCAAAAGTGATGAGGGAGGGAGGCTTTTTTTTAAATTTTGTATTTTGAAATGAAATGAAAATGAAAAAATAAAATGAAAAAATTATTTAAATATTTAAAAAAAAACATTTTCAGTATCATAGAAGACATGCACATAAGGGTCTTAGGCCTTAGGCCTAGTTTTTAGGTTTAGGCATGAAGTGTTAGGTACAGTAGTGTTATTTTAAAAATATAATTTAGCAAAAAAAAATCTGTTTATTTTTTTAAAATGAAACAGTTTGGGAAGAGGCGCATGACATGTTAATCTTGGTCAGTTTGTAAACATTTAATCAGTCATGTGAAAGTGATGTAGTCTATTGTTTTTTATTTTGATTCTTTGTTTTGGAAACCAATGTGAATAATTTTACTGATATGAAGCTTCTACTTTGGGTTATTGACCTTTTCTATTGCCAGTGTACAGTAGGCTACAGTCACACTAGAGTCTCAAGCCTGGCTTGACTCACTGCGGGTGAGATTTTCGTAATGTGACCGCACCTGGATCGACTCGCGCCTGGCGTGACCTCGATCTCAACCTACCTATCTCGATCCCGGCTCAGTAGCCTGGCGTGACCAGGATTGACATTTCCTCGGCTGTCGACCAATCACAGTCGATGACGCCGTTGCGTTTAGAAGAAGAAACCCACGGCAATCATCAGTTGTCATTTATAAATGCACAATTATCAATCCGAAAACAGCATCGCCATTACATCCGAGCCTAGGCCTACAGTAGATCATCTAGATTTGCGCGCGGGGCCGGTATTTTGATTGTGGTGGCGCTCTAAATTCCTGTTTCGACTTTCCTAATTTGGAGGTCAATCCAACTAAATTCAGGTAGTGTGACTGATAGAGAATTTCGAGCCTGGCTTGAAATCTCACCCGCGGTGAGTCAAGCCAGGCTTGAGACTCTAGTGTGACCGTAGCTGTAGGCCAGTATGCTTGTATTGATAGGTACCTAATACTTTACCAGATACAGTGTAGGGTGGGGGTAGGGTGGGGAGAAGTACACACAAAGTGTCATTGAATTTACAGTGTTTTTATTTGCTTAGGTTAAGTATTTTAAAATCTATATAGGCAACACTTTGTTAGTTTGTCTTTGTTGTCTGTTTGATGTTGTTAAAGTTCAAATAATCGGAGGTGGTTTGCCAAAGGCTAGGGAGACCTCAGAAAGAGGAACTCTTAACTCATATGTTTGTGGTGACGTAATGTTGTCTCAAATTCCCATCTGAGTTAACAAAACAATGAAAACTAACTGATGTTTTCTTTGAAATTATCATCTTCATGCCACCTTAACAAGGTCAATATTCAATCTCATGGGTGTACAGAACTACTTTTCAACTCTTATTTCGGGTTAATATTTATACAAAAAATACATCAATAAAAGCAAAGAGAGTGCTGCCAACGCAGGCTGACCAAAAGTACACAAACATGCCTCTGTCTGTACCAAGATATTCTAAATGAAAATGTTCTCTACAAAAATATTTTATATGAAGAAATAATGGAAAATACTTTACAATACAGTACTACTCATTTTAATAACTTACCGTTGACCATCATTCAAGTACCTCCTTTAAACTCATTCAATTCACCGTTCATCATTTCCTGCGAAGGTTTCTTTTCACTTGGTAGGATATGATCAACATTGCCCTCAAATACTGTATATTGTATACCTCTTATTTTCATTGATTACTTCACATAATTTTATAAATCAAAATCATTTCAAAACATTTTTAATTTTTTTAAAATTTATTTTCAATTGTATTGCAGTATTTTGGCTTTCCATTTGGTCAAATTAAAAATAAAAAACAATGGATTGCTCAAGAGGTGTACACAGTATGGTGGTTTTTTTAACCCTGCCACCGCAAGTAGTCCGCACAAGTAGACAGTGAAGTCCTCAGACTAATACTGTACTACCAGGAAATTGTGGCTTGTGTTATTGCTCAGAATACTCGTATCAGTATCTTACATCAGTATTTTCTTTGTTGATATTAACAGAGTCCAAATTTTATACAATGGCTTCGTTTTATTTTATATTGGACACACCAAGGAGGTGTACTGTAAATTATAACTTCTTGCACATCATGTGACAAATTCTATAATGTTCCAGGAAGTGATTAGCACATTTTGTGCTCCTGGGTAGCGGGAGACAGTTATAGATAAAGTGATTTTTTTAAAGAACATAAGTGAAATGCACATCAGGGATTGAACCCCAAACCCGAAGGTTAAGAAGCTAAATCGCAACCGCAGCACCAAACCTCTCGTAACTGTACACATAGTGAAAGCACATTAGCAGTATGTAGTGTGTTAAAACAAGAAGGCACTGCAATTAATGTATATTGGTGGAATTATGTTTTACAAAGATGAGTCTAAATATCGATCAATTATTTACTCACTGAAAAAATAAATGGGATTTACCCCGTTCCACCAGGTGTTTAAATTCCGTGTATTCTGTAATATGAAATTTGTTTGTATTTTATGAACCAATTTAATTTAATCACTCAATCAGTCATGGATTTATTTTGATTGTGTAATCATCCTGCAAATAATTATAATTTTCTTATTGATAGGGTGTGTACTGTAGATTATAAATATACATATTTTCTTGTTTTACTTTTTAATTTAGTTCTGCAGCACTAAAATATAGGTTTGTAAAGGAGCACTTGTTTTCCACACATGGTGTATATGGGAAGGACACATCCAGGTTCATGATTGGTGTCACCATGGCCGATATAGGTTAGTAAAACTTATATTTATGTTTATTTTCATATTGGGAATATCTACCGGGAAGTACCTTAATGTATTTTGATCATAGTGTACTTTTGTCCTGTCCTTTTCTATAATAATCGTAGTCTCCTTTTATTCTCCATTATCTTGTTCTGGTCATCATAATCTAACATTGCCATGTGTTAAATATTACCCTTCATCATCCACCTTACCATCATTCTAATTTACATTATATTCCTCTTACTTGAGGACCCTATCCTTTGATATGCATTGAAATTTTAAAAATTTAGTGGCGAAAATGAGTGCTTCCTACTGGATGCGTACCTGGTCTTACTACCCCACCACCCTTCTTCATACTTGTGTATCACTTTACCTCATTATCCTTTGTCACTACCTTTCCTAGTCCTATTTTATTATCACTTTATTCCTTCCATTGTGATTGCCTAATTCTATCATAGATATCCTTATTCATTGATCTTATTATTATCATTATCATTATTATTATTATTATTATTATTATTTACGCTCCCCCCTTTATTTCTTCCCTGCCTCCTCCGTATTTCTCTTTCCTCTCCATAAACTCTTCTGGTAATCCATACCATCTTAGATTGGTTTATATTGGTTTTTGATTAGTTTTTTAATTTTCCAAGGGTTGCATTTTCCCTCTTATTTTTATTCCTATTTCCTTCCATGTTTTTCACATTAAGGATTACCGAATAAGTGATTTCTCAAGATTGCTGATCCAATATAAGTTACCACCAGATGGTTTAGCAATTTGACATTATCCCTGCTGTCTTGTGCCAAAATGTTATAACCATTATCACTCAGAAATGGAAAGTGTTCTAGTTGACATCTATCCAATGTATAGTCCTTCTGAACAACATGACCACTTAAGGCTGGGTGAGGGTCCTGGAGTTAAAACCCTATTGGTGTTGAAAGAGAGAGTTGTTATCAGTTAAGATGGTAAAAAAATATGCTACTGTATGAAACCACATCGGTAAACTACAATCATATTATCTGTGATTTATTTTATTTTGTTTTATTTATTTCCAGGCAAAATCAGTACAAAATACAATAAAAATTAAGAAAACAAAAACAAAAACCTGAGGATTACCTAAAAGTGAACTTATAATTGCTATCTAAAGGGTTCTCCAGTGAACATTAAAGAAGCAGACATTAACATTTTCAGTCTGACAACCTCAAGTGGCAATAGGTGACAGGGGTCCATGCTTGTCCAATAATAGGGACATTTTTTCTGATGCCTCGCTGGTGCCATTACCAAAGATTAGCAAATTCCCTCTACATGATGTTAAATTTTAGAGGGATTAATCTAGGCTGTAGGATGGTTATTAAGCAATGAACAGTTTTCAAGTAAAGTTCAAAAAGGATGAAGTCTAGACTAATATGACAATGTTGCTATAATTATTCAGTGATTATTCACATATATTTGAATTTGAACTGCAGCAAATCACAAAATGGGCTTCCAATCTAATACCAAACATAGCTAGGTCCAAGCCACTTTTACTCATGGCATTGTTGGCGCTGTATAACTAGGTCGAAACATGGCCTACAATATTTCAGCGCCTATGGTAGCCTACACAGGATCACTACAACAGGTGGGGAAATGATACTGTCCAGTGAGAACCAGTTCACACGTACACAGCAAAAGGTGGGCTAATGATACCATTCAGTGAGAACTTCACATGATCACTTTCCAAGTTGGGGTAATGATATTTGGCAGTGAGATCCCCTTCACACGAACATAGCAAAATCTGGGGTAATGATAGCGGCCAGTGAGAACCCCTTCAAACCAACACCGCAAAAGGTAGAGTAATGATACCGGGCAGTGAGATCCCCTCACATGATCACAGCAAAAGCTGGGGTAATGATACCGGCCAGTGAGAACCCCTTCACATGATCACAGCTAAAGCTGGGGTAATGATACCGGCCAGTGAGAACCCCTTTGCATGATCACTTTCCAATTTGGGGTAATGATATTTGGCAGTAAGATCCCCTCATATGATCACAGCAAAAGCTGGGGTAATGATACCGGCCAGTGTAAAAATCTTCCAGATAGTCAAGGTATATTTTTAGTTGAAGGAAATAGGATGTAAGATAAGGAAATGAAAAAAAAACCAACCCCAATTAATTGAAGCACGTTCTGAGATCACATGGTGCTGATGGGAAATGACACAGGTGGGAAATAAAATGATTCTTACATTCATACCTTGATTTCCCAGCAGGTAAATTGGTACCTGGGTACTATTACAGGTCCTATACAATGCACATTGGTAATTCCTCATTCAAATGCTATTTTTAGTAACATGAGTCATGGGTTACGCATCTGGAAATAAGTGGTTACTTTACTTGTACATTAAGTACAATAGCCTCTATAGACTTGCTGTAGTTGCTGACTCATAGAATCATTGTTGAATGAAGTTGATCATACTGTATTTTGACAGTTGACAAAACAATGAATAAAAGTAATGAATAAGTAGTAGAATAACTGTAATGATTTGGATGTGTTGCAATTTCTAGACATGTCATGCAGAAAAAATCCTGGTAGGGCCTATTCTATTCTGTATTTTGTTAAAAACGTTATTTCAACTTATTTAATATTTAGACAAAAATGTAGGACATACATCAACTATTATTATACTGTTGCCAACCAGTGTCGATAATAGCTTGAGTAAAATTCGCATTTCAAAGTGATTTCGAGTGTTTGTCTAATGTAACATTAATTTGATTAATAGTTAAAGTAATTGGCATCAGGCTTGATCTAAATTATTTAAAAACTGTGAATCTTATATGCCAGTTGTCTGTGGTGCAATAAGTGATTCTTCAAAACCCATACCATATTCACCAATGTGATCCTCCATTAGTATACATCCCAGCTCCAGGTAACTGAGATGGAAATATGATTTACCGAATTCATTCAAAATGATTAAAACAGTTAACAAGTAGTGCTTTGAGGTGGAGTACAAAAATTAAGTGACAGCAGTGCAACAGGACTACAATATATTGTATGGTGTGAAGTGCTTTAGTGGTCTTGTTGTCATAATGCACTATATATGATTAACATGTTAATGTATTGTTAATTGAATACAACAGCTTAAAATTTTATTGAATACAGCAAATGTATTTTCGCGGCTCTAAAATGGCGGATGTTTACCCATGTAGTCTGCAGTGTTCACACTGTTGTGTACATAGTATGCAATGGTTGAGTTAATAATGACTGCTGATGTTGAATATTGATTGATCAATTTGTGATAAATCATTTTACAACATTTTTGATGTCCTACTATATGCAACATTCATGTTTTTATCTCACTTCTATCAATATGGATTTGTTTGCACTGTCTGCTGGATTAGATACAGTAAAGTATTTCAGGTTTGTAAACTCTCAATTACCTGAATGTATGTATGGTTATATGGTAAATAAATTGCATTATAGTGTCCTATTTTATTTCAGTATTGCAATTGAATTCTTTTTTTAATTTGCTTGCAATTTTCAATGATTGTTTTTGTTTTATAGCATGTCGTAGCTTGTGCTTTTATTTACATTGTGTACAGTATGTGCATATGACATTTTGTTTCATTCACAGTCATGTTACATGGATAGTGAGTGTTGTTAAGCTTTGGTTGTACTTTAATTAAAGAGCTCTTGTAATTAGCTGAAATAGAGAAGTGTAAAATTACAAACTATGGGAAGTTATTGTCCCAAGAAATTACTTAGAAAAAAAAAATTGAATTTAAACTAAGTATGCAATGCTACATGTAATTGATTGTCAATCCCTGAAAATTATTCTGTGAACTGAAGGATTCCCTAGGTATAAGATCCTCCCTCCCTCCCATGAACAAGATTGGGCTGATTTTGGTGGTGGGGTTTTTATTGTTGTCAATTTTTCATGATACAGTACAAAACATCTGTACCAAAAATATCTATCCTTCACTGGACATCCTTTATTCCATTTATTGAAAGTCCAGGAATTAACAAATCTTATTACTTATACCATTCCCAATGGTATCCTAGTTCTTGTAAATCTAATTTTTTTTTTTAAACTGCTCATTTATGGAGTTTTAAATACAACACATGTGCTCTCACTATCGCCTTTTTATTACTAAATTTGTTAATTGTTTATATTTTCTAGCTTTGGACAGTAAAATTACGGAACATATTCAAGGTAAGTTTGACATACAGTACAGTTTGTGAGGAATTGATTCTTTAGTAGTGTTTTGGTGATAAGAAAAGTCAAGGCATGTTGGATAATATGTTTGCCTTACTCTTTATTTCAGTAAACACTGCAATTTTAAAAGAAAATAAAATAGTAAGTGCCACAGCGGTGAGACCCCCCCCCCCATTATTCTAGAGTGACGCTAATTTATGAGTGGGCTTATTCGAGAGGGGTACTTATGCAGAGAGCAGTTCAGATTAATCGTTTATTGTATATCCTACCAAGAAGTAAATATTCTTTACCATGTTAAACTATTTATAAATCTTATACCCTATTCAGACTACACTCTCTTGCGATCGGTTGCGATGTAATCGGGGGTAATCCAAAACTGATTACTCCCGATCGCAATCAACGAACGCATTCTGACCAACATAAACAAACTTTACATTCTAGGGCCTAGGCCTCCGGTGTCTAGGCCTATGTTGCCTGACCTCAGCCAAACAGTGCCTGTTGCGATCAGATTCCGTGGTAATCGGGAGTAATAAAGATTGTAGTACCCAATCGCAACGGGTAACAATTGCGATATCGATTACATATTGCCTACTATTGGTGAGCTTTCACGATTTAACTTTGCGATTGGGTGCGATTTGGTGTCGCAATTGCTACAACTGATCACAATGTGATACTAGTCTGAATGGGGTATTAATGGAGATAAGAAAAGGTGAGGAATCGGTAGTGTTCACAGAAGCCACTATATAATTTGTTGATTTTGTTCATATTATAAATAAAAATTTTTGTGTCGTTTCATAGGTTGTGAAATTGAAAGTAATGATCATCTTGAAGAAGGTAAGAGTCCTCTAATATCTTACAGTTTAAATCTATTCGTTTTCAATCACATTTTTTATTTATTAATTAGAATTGTAATGTATGACAAGCTACAGGGATACGTGCTTCATTACATGAACATCCATGCTATTGTATTTGAGTGAAATATGTAATAATACAAATAATAATAATAGTGAAACAAATATTTCATACCATGATGCTTTAATACAGATATTAAAGGTTAAAGGTTAAAGGTTGTTCTTAATTTTCATACCATGAAAATTGATTACATGGAGTGGGTATGCTTTTCCTGTGAATTATAAAAGGATCGAGTAATTCTATTTCACTTATTTCAATTATAAGTATTTATCAATTTAATTTATTAATTTTGTTTGTTATTTTTTCAGAGCTTAGTAAAGAAGAAACAAAAACTCAAGACAGTAAGTTGTATTATTTATTATTTATGCTTAGAAATATCAACATTAAATGCTAAGTATTATCATGCTACAACTTAAATTATGCTAACATTGTTTACATTATTAATTTAGTATAAAAGCAAAAACAAAGGAGGACTTTGATATACTGTAATGCATTGCAAAAGAGGAAATAGCTTAAGTTCAAAATAAACACACTAAGCAAGTGCTGTAATTTGTTTTTTAATGAGTCACAATTATTTAGTTCATTGATAAACTGCCAAAAAAAATAATAATAGAGGGCAGTCTTGTTGAGATCCTACCACATGGTCATGTAAAGAAAGCAGTGTTGTGATGTTAACAGTTTAGTAATCAGATTGACAAAATGCTTTATTGTTTAATAGTGAGGAAGAAATAAAGATATCTTATGAGATTTCTTGGCGATGGTGGACATTGTAAAAATAAACAAAAGAAAATTTCTTTAATTTTTGTCATAGTGGCAAGTTGGTAAAAAAGATCATTTTTATATACTGTATAATATTTGAATTCATTGTATTTAGCTAAATATAATTTTTTATTCATAAGGCAAGACTTTTTTTATTCCTTGTTTAGTGAACCCACCACCCGTCAATAATGATGATTTCAAATAAAAATATAATTTTATTTTTTGCCAATTAGCGCACAAGCCACCACGAAAAAGTGGAAATTTCAGAAAAAAAAATTTTATTACGCCTGCAGCTGCCTTAAAATCTCTAAAAATAAGATATGTATATTTTTTCCTAATTATACAATTTTTAAGCATTTAACCATCCCATTACTACACTGTTTACATTCAACAATAAAATTTTATTTTTATTTTCTCCTAAGTCTGAATGTTTTTGGCAAAACTATTTGCTAAAATAAGAAAACAAAATTTTATGTTTATTTTGTTTCCGCCCTCCTCTGACGATCTTAAAAAAAATTATTTTACGAAGCAAGGTATAAAAAAAATAGTCTCGCCTAATGTAGTGAGAGAGACATGCAATCCTTAGATGTCCCCTGTAATACAAGGAACAACCATGGAACTGTTATCAACTGTGTACTGGAAAACACCATTTACATCATTGACAATAACACATTGTGTAATCATCACAGAACAATGTCTGAACCTAATACCAACAGCTAATGACCTTAAAGGTCGCTTAGTCCAACTGCTCAAATTTAGCATAGTGATAATTTACAATTGACTATTTAATAGAATGCTTATCTCAATATTTTAGATAATAAAAATAGCACATTGAAAATCTACAATCATATTAAAATATTAAGAAGTAGACATACTAAATGTGTTATGTTTTCAGGGAAGCTTCTCTGTTAGGCAGATTAAGAGGAATTTTTATATTTGCTCTTTTAATTCAATTGAAAGTTTCCTTATTCATCTTCCTGTACCAGGTGCCAATCATCTAAACATTCCATAATTATAATAATGAAGATTGCCCTTACTACCAGATGTTGCTGTTTGTTTGCATGGTTGTTATAGAAACAAAACCAGTAATAAATTTAAATATGCCAATATTGGCAGTAAACATCAGCTAAAACTTGAAGGTTAAGATCTTCCAGTCCTAGTGTCATGGTTTAAAATGTAATTTTGAAAAACTAAAACAATTTAATTTTACCAATCTTGATAGAATGAGAGCAAAGCATTTATTATGCACCATTTCTATACATGTCAAGGCTCACGCATTCAGCGTGAGACTCGCGCATTCGAAGTTTCTCTCACGCTTTCATGCTTAAGGCCAAAAATCTTGCGCATTAAATGTAGTACAGTATTGCCTATAATAAAGAATATGTATAATTTGTAGCTCTCTCGCTAAATATTCATCATCTACTGTACTTAAAATAGATTTGGTTTGGTTTTGTTATTAAACACATCCGAATACAAATTTCTTTCAATCAATTTCACAACAACCAACCAACCAGCACATTTGTTTGATCCCTTTTCAGAAATGTAAAAAAAAGGCCAAATCATAAACATGGGTCTATAACAAAGAGCACAGCCAGCTTAAACTAACAATGTTTTAGAGATAGTACATTTTTTTTAGATTATCATATAATTTGAGATTTTTTAATGGTATCTCATGTATTCTTTAGTTGATAAATTTTGATAAAGGTTGCTAAAAATTCAAAAATTTCTCTTACTAGTTTTTCTATCAGATCAGATCAAACTAGCAGCATCAACAGAATCCAAGAATACGCTGCCAGCTGCCTATGCGTGCTGCTTATGTCAGTTGGAGGTTCGTGAACGACAGAAAACATGCATTCTCAAAATAAAAAATGCTGATTCTTAAAAGATTTGTAGTTGAAAAAATACAACCCTAAAGGTGGCAAAGAATGCAAAGGGAAAAACACATTTCAGGAGTGGGGGTGGGGGAGATGGGGGATTTCCCAGGAACACCCTAGGGAGAGGGGTTTTTAGAACACAAGTCTCGCGCCTACTGTAGTGCATGCGCAGATCAGTGACCAACTAGTGCGATAAGCAAACACGACAGGCAGGGTTATAGCTGTATAAAACTAAGGGTGGGTGATAACCAATTTAAGAGTGGGTGGGTGATAACATTAATAAACTCTAAATAATAAGAATGAATTTAAAAGGATAGAAAAGTGGGTTAGTAAAGGTGGGTGGAAGGCCATGAAATTAGCTTTAGACTGGGTTGAAAACTTCAAGGCTGGTGGCCCCGCCTTCATCCGCCGACCATAACTACATCCCTGACAGGGACTTTTGCAGTGAGAGAGTTTTCATGATTTTACATAAATTTTTAATTTAATAAATTTTTTAACATACATGGCAAGTCTAACGCAACAAACTTTAGTCGAACTTCTTAACTAGAAATTCATTTAGTCCTAGTTGCAACTTAAACTTAAATTTGTATTCATAAACAATGTAGTCGAAGTTCTAACTACGATTAAATCAAGTCCTAGTTATAGTTCAGCTGAAGACGGCTAACTAATGAAAAGAGATCATTTTATCAGCAGACGAAATTTTCAGAGATCCGGTAACACGAATGAATATTAAGCTGCTGTCTGCCCTTTAAAAACATATTTCCTTATAATTCATAATAGATAATCATTAGCTTAATTAATTTTCTATAATAATAACTATATTAATCGTTAACATATAACTATAGAGAATTTGAACACTCACTGGAAATTTGCTTTCTTTTGAGAACTATTATAGTTGAGCCCAATTGGGCGGCACTATCTTTGTAGTTGTTATGGTGAAGCTACGTGACCGCAACGCGAGGGGATTCGTGCAAATCAGGAACTATTGCATGTGGCTAGTAAAACATAATTTCACCTTTTGGAAGCTAAGCTTGAAGTCTCTTTTGTTTAACATACCGAAGATATATCAGACCTATATATACAATCGTTTGTATTCGTTTCACTTTATCGTGAGTTACAAAAAAGCATTTCTAGCCATGGTGTCTTCCTCTGGACAGGAAAGTTAGTCGGTCTTAACCCTTTCACTGCTGTAGGTATACGCACCCCCTGTGCTGGGACTTTTTTTAACGAAAAAAGTTAATTTTTAAAATAATTCAAAAAAAATACTAAAAGAGGTTATTTCGAAATTCTTTTTGTGTGTTGTGGCAAGCAATAGGTTGGCCTACGCGAGGAACATTGATATTTGGTATTTTGCATAATTAGGTAGTCATGTGACCTCAAAGTCGCAATTTTGAATTTCTGTTTTTTCTCAAATTTTGATAAAAAACCCAATTTTTCCCAATGAAATTTTTATGGAATGTTTTTTTTTTTAAAATTTATAATGATGCAGACACACAAGGTGGATAAAAACACAAAAAAAATGAGTTAGTTTGATCGTTTTATTCCAAAACCGCAAATAATCAAAGTTTTTCTTCAAAATTGTGAAAATATAAAATTTTGCAGAAAATCACTGTTAGATGTACTTTTTGGCATACGTTTTTATTTGTGCTTTATATAATCCAGGTAGTAAATATAAATGCATCGTTGCAAACATCATACGGTTACTTTATTTTAGAACTATAAAAATTAGCCTGTTCTATTGTGTGAAATGTGGAAAGGAAATCTGCAGACAAGGCATTGCCACCTTGACCCTGTGCAAGGCTTCCCAAATTGAGAGAATCATTGTTTTCGTCCTTAGAATCACTGTCGTCACTATCATAGTCGACTGGGGGAAAAGAAATGCAAGAATCATCCAATTCAAAGTTATCTTCACTATCCGTATCTGCAAAGATCTGGTCCATAGCTTTGTCGACATTGTACCATCTGTTTTGAGGCCGTGCACCCGCCATTTTGTGCCTAACCACTCGAAAACACTTTTTTCCGATAAAAGGTTAATTATAGTTCATATAAAAAAACTATAGAGGGCGCAGAACCTCTTCCTGATTTTTAACAATATTTTTTCTACATACCCGGTAGTACTGGGTATGCGCAATTCAACAATATGTGTTTATACCCGGTATTACCGGGTACACGCAGTGAAAGGGTTAAGCCCAATAGGCTGATAAACCAGATGCTGCCATATATCTGAGCTTTTGTTTGTTGTTCACATCAGATGTTGTTTTCTCACCACTTAAGATGATTGTTGAGTTTGAAAAGAACAATAAAACACATACTAAACAACTGCATAATGGCTTTATACTGAGCTTAGTTAGTGGAGCATTACATAGTTAATTAGCATCCTGTAGTAATTGGCAAGTTAGGTTTGCAATTGGACGAGAATGAAGTAATGATCGTTGGCATGCCTATGGAGAGGTTACAGTTGAGTCTCCCGGACATCGGGATGGCCTCTCTCACTCCCACTTGCAAGTAAAAACTTCCCAGAAACTAATATGATGATGGGTATCCCCATGCGTAAAAAAGCTCATATTAACCAGATTTTCTGGAATTGGTTATCCCCAACTTGGGATACCTGAGTTGTTGTACGTAAGTTCAAGACCTGTCAAGCAACAGCATTTCAGTGCTCAATGTTAAATCAAACTTTTTTGGCCGATGGCTTAAGCCCCCTGCCC